ACATTGAGGTGGCGAGATCCCACATGACCCAGTGTACAACTCGAGTCCCAGACCTGGGGGCTTAAAAAAACAAACTGGGTGTGTAGTATGTACCTAGCCAAAATCCCAAGTGGAGAAATGGAGGAGAAGCGATTACAGTATTGTCATCCCCTCAAGGGTGATCTTTCTTTCTTTCTTTCTTTATTTCTTTCTTTCTTTCTTTCTTTCTTTCTTTCTTTGCTATAAGGCATGTGCGCTCGCCAGACAGACAGACAGAGACATAGAGACAGAAAGCGAGAAATCACCCCCAGGAGGAATGGCCATGCCACAATCACTTCTCCTCTGTTCTCCTTTCGGGATCTTGGGCACGCACACACACGCGTCCGGCGTGAGTTTTAAACTACCGGGTCCGGGACGCGAACCGCGGTTGACTACATGGGAGTCCAGCGACATAGTCATTACACTAACTGCTGGTCCCAAGGGGTGATCTTTCTTTCTCTCTTTCTCTGTCTCTCTGGTTCATGTATATGCACTATAGCAAAACAAAAGGAAAGCAAAATAATTCAGCTTCAATTAATCTCATAACCATTTATATGGTCATTGTTATTAATATTGCTTGTTTCTAATATTGTTAGGATGTACATTTCCAGGACAGCACCACTAACTAGCTTCTGATCTTAGGCAAGTCACTTTTTGATTACCTTGACCTTAGTGGTCTGGTTTATAAAATGAAGGTTTTGGCAAGTTTAGCTTTGTTATTCCTATAGGTTGCAGACTCTATTGAGCTCTGCGAATGGTTACCTTTGATCCATGAAAGACCTCCATGGTTTTTAAGAATGCCCCTGAAACAACTAAAGTAGTCCATATGTGGTTACCCATTTCACTTGAGAAAAACATCAACACTTCATGTCCTCATCTTCAGAAATGACTCAGAGCACCAACTAATGAGTCATTGCCTCAACCACTCCTTCTAACACCTCCTTTAGGTGTTCCCTGGTTAGTGAGTTCCTCTTTGTAGCATCCGAACCAACTGTGCTTGGCTTGCGTATTTTAGGGGAGTACAATTCACCGCAAGCCCTCAGACTAGGAAGCCATCACGCCACATAAAAGATGTGTGTCGTAAACAAAATCTCACTCAGAATCTTCTGTGATTTCCCTGGGATAGTTTTCTGGAAGAAGCTTACCTCTTCTAGTATAGTTGTCCTATGTGTACACAAAGGGGAATCAAGACTAGAATAAACCAACATGATTATTTTAGACTAAATGGTGGACCATTCATTGTGATTAGGGCTAGCAGGAATTGTGATTAGGGCTAGGAGGAATGGAACCCATTACAAGTTTACCTGCCCCACGCTACCTGTTGGGAGATGCAACTTCTGGAGACAGAGTGTACTGAGATGCTATCCAGGGCATAGAAGAAAATCATTCCTAAGTTTCACAACGTTGTGCCCTCTATTAAACAATGCTACTCGTTTTCTGAAGCATCATCGGAGAATACTGAAGTAGACCAACATGTTGGGTAATTTTTTTATTCCTTCTAACACTGAGTTTAGAATTGCAAATATAAACAAATGGCCCTCTCTGTAATTTCAATACGTTCTTTTTAGTTTTTTTTATGTTAAAGTGTACTATATAATTCTATTTACTATTAGTTGAAAGAGCTAAGACTTAGTTATTCGGAAATTGCCATCAATTGTGTAGTAAAGATCCTTTTATTTCTCATCAACATTGCCGATATGTCAGTCATGTCACTGGGTACGAAATGAGAGGTAGCAAGAAGAGAAGAAATTTAACTTGGTTATTTTAATGTAGAAAGCGAACATTTATTCAGCACACTTCTTATGCTAACCCATTATTGTAAGAAGTCTACATGTTCTCTCTCACTCAGTTCTCATGCTATTATGAATTAGACATCAGTGTCAATTGGTAATGGATAAAATAGCCAGTAGTTTAGAAGAACTTGAGGAAACATGTTACTGTATTTGAGAGCTTTGGTTTTCACATTAAAGATAGATGGAGCTGATTATGGGTCCTACAGCTTACCATCTGTGGGATCTTTATCAAGTTAAACTTTCTAACCTTGAGTGTACTTATCAGTGAAATGGTCATGATAGTAGCCCCTGCCTGATACAATAATTATGAAGATTTACTGAAATAAAGTGTAACCTAAAACCTGGACTGTGGGAAGCACTAAACATATTACCTATTTTAATAATAGGTGACTGATCTCAAAAATTTGAATTAAAATCTGTAAGACTCTAAAATCTCTGGCAAAGATGATGGCAAAAGGAAAAAAGAGTAAAATGAATGGTCAAAAATAAACTTGAGGGTCGATTACCTGAGGATTATAAATAATCTCTCTCTATTTATCATGATTAAGTATAAATTCACAGTATTTTTGCACCTAGCTAACTTTTTCTTTTCTCCTTTTCTTCCCTTTCTTTTATTTTTAATTTTTTTTAAATTGGATGGCATGTGTGCTTGCCAGAGAGAGACACAGAAAGAGAGAGAAAGTAAGAAAGCACTTCCCATGGAAGATGGTCACACTGTAATCCTTCTCCTCCAATCTCCTTTTGGGGATTTTGGACATGCAAACACCAGCACCCTGGGTGTTTTTCAAGCCTCCTGGTCAAGGATTTAAGCCATACAGTCAGAAATGTGGGATCCAGCTTCCTTATCTGCCATGTTACTGTTTGACCCCCACCTCAGCTTGTCTAAGAAATATAATAAACATCACCATTTGCTCTTGTGTGTTAGACGATGCCAACATCTCACGGATGATCATGCCCTCTTCTCACAATTTAGGAGACTATTTGGGTATTAGCACTGGGAAGAAGCTTCAGCAGATTTCAGATTCTTACTGTGGGGTGAAAAAAACTAAAGGATGAATCCATCACTTTTATAATAATGACAATAATAACACAGTAATTGTAGCTGACACATGTAGCACTACTGTGTGCCAGGCAAGGTCTAATTACTTAACATATATAGTATCCATTGTTCATTTACTTGCCACACTGTCTTATGAGTGAGGGGTCATTTTATCACCACTTTACGGCTTCCGAAACTGAGTCACAGAAAGGTTGAGTGTCTTGTCTGAGGTTACAGGATCAATAAGTGGGAAAACTGGGACTCGCACCCAGTTAGCATGGTTCTAGTGTTTGTATGCTTTGCCATGCAGCCATTAAGTACATAAACCCAATAATTAAAAAAAAAAATTATGTTCCTCTTTTCCCTCTACAGGTATCTCGACATGCCAAGTGATGGAACTGACCCACAAGTGTCTTGTTACATTGCAGCCCCACTGTGTGTTCTGCAGCGACTCCAATGCCGAATACTTAACAGCATGAGTTCTTCCATAGTGGGCGATAATGAAGAATTGGTCAGCAATGTTATCACTGTTGAGTCCTCAGATCAAGAGCAGAGAATTCCATTCCCAATATGCATTGCAATCCCATTCACGGCACGTTACAGGGGAAATTACAGAGACATCATGGTGAAAGTGTCGGATAGAAACTTGGACTCGAGTTACCTAACCCCACATTCGCTGGAAGGAATGCGAGGCAGTCAGAAGGTTGGTAAATCCTTTGCTAGCTCTATATTTGCTGCTTGGGCCCACTTCTAAATATTACTAGTGTACCATGGTATAGATATAATTCTCCTATGGATAATAAATGGAAGAGCTGATAGATTTGTGCTAGTGCATTCATGAGTTTTGTTTTGTTGCCATAATGATCAAAGAGTAGAAACTATCAGTTAAAGTCAGAAATGAACTTGGGTCTAGCGCCCACTGAATAATTAATTAAGTAATTACTTAATTTTAAATGGGGGGGTAAAATCAGCATCATGACTTAATCAGCTTTACGTTATTTATTTATTTTTTTTTGGAGAGGTTTTCACTATAGGGTGTGTGTGCTCACCAGACAGACAGAGACAGAATCCCTTTTTCTCTCTCTCCTCTTGGGATCTTGGGCACGCACGCACATGCGTCCGGCATGAGTTTTAAGCCACCGGGTCCGGGACACGAACTGCGGTCGACTACATGGGAGTCCAGCGACATAGCCATTACGCTAACTGCTGGTTTCCACGTTTTAAACTACCTTTAGATCAACATTTAAAAAATAAAGTGCATTGTTATTTATTTCTCTCACGAGCATGAGAGAGAGAGAGAGAAAGAGAGAGAATGTATCCCCAGCACTGTCTTGATGCTGTGATCCACCCCAGCTTTGGCCAGCTCTGGGTTGTGGGCACTTGTGTCCTGGTGTACTTAGTCAGATTTATGGATGCAAACCTGGGACCTCACTATAAGGGTCAATCTCACAGAGTGTGCGTTTACCTCTGCACCACAGTCTGGCCCCTAGACTAGTATTGCTAGGTTATGGACCCCCGTCTAAACTTAAGAATGTTAGAATCCACGGATGATAGCAACTTTATTTTTAGTATGCATGGATTGGGAAAATATATAAATAGTGACAAATGATCTTGATGTGTATGTGCCTTGATAGAGAAAAATCTGTCCTTGAAAATTTAATCTGCATGTAAGATAATATGTACGGTAGGATGTGGGCTGTGAAGAAAGATCGGTTACATTTGAAATCTGGTTCCTATACTTTCTTGCTATGTAAATGGCGTAACCATGCTGTGACTCATACCTTCATGGGAAAAATGAGCACGATAATGATGTCTACCTGATAGGATTAGAAGGATTAAATAGATCATATACTTAACACGGTGAAATAAAGCAGATGAGTTGTTACCATAGAAACGTTTTTCCTGATAGACTTCATCGTAATAATTCTGAGGCCCTCTATGGTCACAAAATCATAAATTCACATTGTGGAGAGAGACTATACACAATTACTAAATTTAGTACAGAATTGATGGCAACCGACATTTAAGAGTCTTCTGGGGGCCACTGAATTTATTTTTAATCAATTAACTAGTTATCTCCTGAAGTTTTATGTAAGTTGCCATTTGTTCAGAAGGACAGGGAATAGATGTTCATGCATACAAGACATTTCTTATACTAAATCTCTTTTTTTTTTTTTGATTTTGGCCTCTTCTGAGTTATAAAGGTTATATAGTCAAATATGAAAGTTAAATCTCTCTTCTAATTATTTACTACAATTCATGCAACTAATACGTGTTTATCCAGTCTAGGAAGCATGTAATAATCTGGTCAACACTGCCCTTGACTGGGACTTTTAAATCTTGCCCAGTCTGTGTGACTGTCGCAATAAAAGCAAAAACTACACACAGCAATCATGTACTTTTTACACAATGGGTTTGAAAGATGTTTAATAAATGGATAATTAAAGTGAAAGAAAAACATACGAGAATCATTGTCTATTGTAAAGACAAAGGCATATACTTTTCTCTTTATAGCATTCTAATGGTAGCTATCGTTCATTTTAGCCGAAGAATATTTAAACTTTGGATTCTTTTCACAGTTTTATGTGGGTCGTATAACATTTACACATTCTAATTCTTAAAACCCTTTCGTTTCTGCCAAATGTGGTTTAAATCCACAGCAAGCACCATTGGTTCCCAGAACATTTTTCTTTCTTACCTCTCAGCATTTTCCCTCTAGCCAATTAACACCATTCATCATGCCCTGAATTTTCCCAACGACGGATTCACACACAGATATTGTGAAATCGCTCCCTTAGTCAGCTTTCAAAGGATAGATTCTTTTCCATTGGATTGTCCCTGCAGTGTTTGTGTGTGTGTATGCGTGATTATCCACTCATGTCAGGGCGGAGCCCAGCCGGTGTCTGGAGAAGCATGAATAGGCCAAATTACTTCTACGTCTGCCTCTTCAATTGGAGCTTTGGTGATTATATGAGTGGATCGTTCTGTTTTCATTTAGGTACTCAGTTCCCTCTTGTGGGACATAAAAGCTCGAATACGTGCATGCATATATGCATTACAAATTCAGATTCCACTCTATAAAAGAAAAACAAATATGTCTTTCCAGTCATCTGCTCCCACTACATGAAGGAAAGAAATAGAGAAAATGACTTTGTCTTGGCAACTGAAGAGATGGTGAATTGTCCTAAGGAAGAATCTGTGGATAGTACAGATCCTTTAGTGTTTGAGTAAACTGCCTAGATAATGAGATCTTCCACTCCTTGAAGTTCCCTAAAACATCATTGAAACTTCTGGATAAAGACCAGTATTTAAAATTCACTCTAGATAAAGCAGGTTAGGATTCCAGAAGCCATGAATATTTGTGAAAATATGGAATATAATCAATTACCCACTAGACATGTACATTTAGGGAGAGTTCATCTAACTTCAAAATACATTTCTTCTTCTTTTTCTTTCTATCATGTAGCCCAAATTTAAGAAACTCTTACTCAACTACCACTTCAGTTCATAAAGGGACTATCTATCATTCCAATGTGTAGGTGATTACCTGGGTAATGCATAGCTTTTTTTTTTCTCACAATTCGCAGAGTACATACAGATTGAATTTACCCTCTCAGTGCTGTAGCTTATTTTAATGTCCTTTAATTCATTCAGGGGACCTGCGCTGCAGTGAAGGTTTACAAGTTGGGTATCTTTTCTGTTGTGTCTTGTTTAAAGAAAGAGTCCTTCACAGTTCCTAAGAAAGGCCTCACTCTTAAGTCAGGCATGGATTCCCGAATATCTTTCAATTACCCTCCAGGAGTTTTCGACTCTCCAGTGCTTGTACAATTAAAGGTAAATATCAAAAATGAGTGAGTTTCTTCTCAGATTAGTAGACCATCAAGCATAGTTCCACAGGGTAAAGAGGAAACCAATATTTAATGGGACCTAAATGAATTCTTCGTTTGTTACTTGTAACGGCCTGCCATATGGCGATATCAGTGACAAAGTGATGACACTCTAATGAGAAAACTGATGAACAGATTGAATTTCATTCCAAAACAAACCCCTTAGTTTTGTTTAGGCTATTGATTGATGAAAACAGGCATTGAGAGTTTATGAAGGAATCGATGCAGATTTGGGGACATTGAAGTAACAGAAGATTTCCATCTGAGAGGATGGCACAAAAGAAGAACATCAGTGAAAATACTAATTATGACTTATTTGGTTCTACTGGATTATGGAACATTAGCCTGTTTTAGAATCAGAGTATATATTGGGTTTTCAGGAAAGTCATGACGCAGCTTCGCAAAGAAAACCATGCAATAAGAAGCCGTGACTTCCCCAACAACCTAATACACAAGCACTATTTGCAGATGTGAATGGTGATATATCAAAGTACATTTCAAAAGTTTCTTTTTCCTTTTTAAGTTTCCTGATTTCTTTTATGAGAGAGAGAGACAGAGAGTCAAGTACCCCCAAAATGATCCTCGTGCCCTAATCCACCCCCGGTCTCATCTGGTCTGGATCATAGACACACATAAGTGTACTCAGGGAGATCCCAGGAAGTGAACCCAGGTCCTTTCCCATGCGGGTCCAGTTCTGCTACTGCCATACCCCCATCTGCTCCCAGAAGATGTATTTTCTCAAATAAAGTTCCCTGTCCTTTTAAGGTCAACTGTATCTCCTGCTATCTCAACTATTTCTTTCCATTGTTACCGTAAATGGTAAGTGAGAAAGAAAGATTAAAAAGAAAACTTATTATGAATATTTCACTCGTAACTAGTTTCTAGAAGCTTTGAAATCTAGAACTATGTTAGGAAGTTCTCTTATTAGCCTTTCTTATGTGTAAGACAACACTTAAGGAAATACAGCCTTTTAAAAAAATTTTAGTTTCTACAGGTCACTTGGTCTAACAAGAGTCCTAATTAGAAATGATATAAAATGTCTCTTGTTTTCTAGGTCATTTTGTTGGCTACAATTAAGAGCGTTCCTCAGTTACTTATAACAGGACAGGGAACCCAGACTTCAGAAACACTTTACAGAATGGGGCCCAAATCCTGAGGCTTTAAATGAATGAATGCAACATTGATTCCAGCTAACGATGGAGTGAGAAAAGTATCCATCTACATTCTGTAAAATTATTAGAAAATTCGCTTAGAAATGTGTTGATGCTTTGCATCTTTTGCTAGTAAACTATGAGAATATTACCTGTATGGATTTATAAACTTATACATATATTTGTGTATAGATAGATATATATTATTCCTCTTTTAGATCCAACCAGTTGACCCATCTCTGGTGGCGTATTTAAAAACACAGCAAGATACTTCCTACTCAATACAATCTACGAGTCCTCTGATTCACATTCAGCACCCATCAACGCGTCCTTTTCAGAAACCAATTACTGTGTTCCTACCTTGTTCGCCACATCCTGATAAGAAAAATGTTGGATCTGATACAGATCATCCAAGGTCAGCCAGTGCCGCAGCAAATAGGAATACTCCTTTATGTTTCAACCGGTGAGATTCTAATATCATGCCTGGGCTTGATGGTACACGAAAAACTTAAAAGATTAAAAGTTGCACTCTAATATCTTGTATTCAAATTTCAGTATTGAAATATGATGAAATGTCTTTAATTTAGAAATAAAATGTGGCTCTGCCAAAGGTTATGATTTTAGCCATCTTGGGCTCAAGAAATGTGCTTTACAATGTAAAATTAAATAATGCTTCACAAAAAAGAATGAAATTTTTACAAGTATAAAGACAGAGGCAATGGTGCCTGTACAGAACTTTAGGCTGGGGGTGGTATATTTTTATATATTCAACAAGTATTGGAAATCTAGTTTGTACAGTTAGGGAAAGGTCACACTTTAGTCCAGAGGAATAATATTGTGTAAAAATGAATACTGAAAACAGACTAAGAAATTATGAACATGAATCTGCCTTCCAGATTTGAGAAAGAAATTCAAAGGACTACCAGGCTGAAAGTGGTGAATAAACATTCATTCAAGGATCAGAGAAAAACAAAACACTACATGGTGTTTTAAGAAAAAAAGAAATCAATCTTATGAAGATTCCAAAAGAAAAAAAAAAGTAGAAATAATGGAAAGAGAACATCATCCAGACATAGCACAATAATTTGAATAATGAAATTTATAGCCACCTGGAGATTATGATAGAAATCTGTTTTGTGAGCCAGCCAGTGACTTGGTGGTTAAGACAACTGGATTCCACTTGGGATCTAGCTGACTGCACAGTTCAAGTTACTGACCCAGTAGCTAGAAAAACCAGTTGCCAGGTGCATGTGTGTGCATGCCCAAAATCCTGAGAAGAGAATAGAAAAAAAAAGGGTTGTGGTGTGGCCGTTCTTCTAAGGGGATACTTTCTCACTTTCCCTCTGTCTTTCTCTGAGAAACACATTTACACCATAGGAGATTTTAAAGCAAGAAGAGGAAGAAGACGAAGAAGAAGAAAGAAAGCAAGGAAGAAAGAAAAGAAAAAAATATGTTATAAAATCTAGTAGTATCCAGTAGGCATAATTTCAGTAAACAGGAGCAGAAAACCGTCAGGATAGACCAGTACGAGATGAAAGAACGAGATGAAATATCAAGATAAACTAAGCTAAGAAGGCAGTAGAGTATGATAAGGAATCACTTCAAAGTGATGAAGCCTACTAATTAAAGGTACCATTGAAGAAAAGACCAAATGATAATAAAAGAAGAAATAACCAAAGGCATAACTGAATTTAATTTTCTGAATTCGATTAAAGCTTTGAGTCAGAAAGTGCAGCTTGATTATTAGATAAAGTCTATGAATGAAGAGCCATACTTAAGTAGAACATGGAACCCTGAAATGTAGGTTAAGTAAAACATAATTTCATAAGCATCCATTCAGCAGAGACAGACTAAGTAAAAAGAAATAAAATCAATTTGTCCTCAGTCCGATTCTTTAGCACTAACACTTGAGAAAACATGGTCCGTTGATGTAATTTTCACCCAACAAGGTGTGTTTTTGCTTTTTTACATGCAGGGATTCACAAAGTGTGCTACTCACATGTTCTAGACAGAATCAATAGACAAATACATAAAATTAATAAGATATTTAATAAAATAAAATGTAAGATATAAAAACAGGAAAGTCTTATTTTCAAAAATTCTGCTACTGAGCATAAATAATATGAAAGAAAAAAAGGAACAAATGCAAACTTAAAAGTTTATATACTTGAGTGCTAACAGAAAGAAAACAAAACAGCATAGTGACATGAATCTATTTTGAAGAAAAAGCTTAAGCAAGATAATGTCAATGAAATGATTAGTTATGGCAATAAATATAAATGGGCTAAACATAAATTATACTCTTGTCCTTGTCTCTTAACGTTCCTCTGATATTTTTAAATGCTTTATATACTAGAATTGGGGTGAATATCTTAGATTTATTATGCATGCTATTAGTTTTTTACAAGTCATTTAAACTATTTATTTCAATCCTTGTCATTCTCATTTTCCAAAAAGCTATTGACATACATAATCTTTGTAGTAGGATTCTGTTTTTCTCTTATTCTTAAATGAATGTTCACCTACCACTTTGTTTTTTCTAAACTGCTCTATTTTTCCCCCTATCCGTTATATTTCTTCCTTTACTCCTTTAATTACTCTAAAATGCTCATTTTATAGTCTCTTTAAAATTATCCTAGCATGTATTAACATAATATTTTCTGTTACTTTATCTGTCTTTGAGTATGGTGTAATCTTGTGTACCTCCTCCCTACTTCTGTTCTATGGCTCTCATTCATAGACATTTATCTCTAAGTATTGATTATGATTTTTAATCAGAGCTAAAGATCGGCATCTAAAGATCTTCCTCTCTTCTCCTCTATGTGAGGTCATTTTTCTGTTCTTCTTAGTTGCTTTCTAGTGCCATTGGGCAAAGGGTTTGAGTTGTCGCTATCTTGCCCATTGATGGTCAATGCTGCCCTTCTGAGATCCCAGGATTATGACTGAGTTAGGTCCACTCCCTCCTTGTGCAGCTGGAGTCTATGTCTAATGTACAGGAGTGTATATACACGCGAGCCTTCTGTGTCTGATATGTGTGTAAGGTTGGAGTCAGAGGGAAGAAGATGATGGGGGAGTATCCATGAGTCACTGCCTTGAGTTCCCTAAAGAGGGAAGAGAATTCTGGCTCTATGTCAACCTAGATTTTTATTTTTAACCATTTCTTTGGAGATATCATACCACCCACTATGGATTTAATTATCAATGCTGTGAAGACTGCAGTGAATATAATTTCTATTACTTTATGGGTGATCTGGTTTAACGTGCTGACTTCCTTTAAACTCTTTTCTTTACACTTGGTGTTCTGCAGTTATTAATGATATATCTAAGGGTAAATTTTAAGAAGCTTTATTCTGGGGTCAGGTGATGATGCCAAGATAATGCAACTGGATCCCCAATGGGAAAGGTCCTGGGTTCACATCTCGGGACTTCCCTAGGCACAATGGGTATGAATGCCTGTGATCTGGGCTAGTTGTGACTGGGGTGAATTGCAGTGTGAAGACCCAGTGGGAATGCCTCTCTCTCTCTTTTTAATAAATTAAAAAAAGAAGTTTTTCTGAATATAGCACCTTATATTTCCTAACTTGACTTACATCTTTTCACATTTCTGAAAAATTCATGTGTCTTCTTATCAGATATTGGCTTCCCTCCATTTTATTCATGCAATCCTTCCAAGCTTACAAGTAGATGTAAATTCAACACATTTTTCCAAATTACATATTTCTTTACTTTTCATTTAAATTTTATATCTCACTGTCTGTGTATTATATTTCAAGCAATTTCATTCCTTCATGTTCCAGTTCAAAAATGCCAAAAATAACGTATAATTTAAAAATGGACTTTTACTATCTCAGTCGAGTTACTGTTTTCACCATTATATATTTTTTATTTCTTAAAATTTTATTTGGTTCTTACTCAAATCTCTTGCATTGTTTTTCATAATCTCTTGCTGCTGCCTTTTCTGTATGATACTATTCTTCATTTTATTGAGATTTCCTTATATTTTCAATCACCAGAAAAGTCATGGTGTATTTTTCTGTTTCTCCATGCAAAATTGCATCATGACTTTTACAATGACTCAATATTTTCCTCTTGATTTTTGTGAGGTTCTTCCTCTTCCAAAGGGTGGGTGGAACTGAGACACAGGAAGTTGGAAAAAGACATGAGGTACTGATGCCATGTGTTTCCTGGCTGAGCTCAGGGGGAGCTTATGGAGCTCTTAGCAGGGCTGGCTAAGTGCTTCTTCCCTCTTGGAGCTCACAGCAAAGAGCATGGAGCTGAGTTGACCTGAGCCAAGGCTGAATCAAGTCTAGGCCACCAGGCCTGAGCTAGCAGAACCAAGGCTAAGCTGAGAAGGGCCTGTCAACTAGTTGACCAGCTGCTCCTTTTCTCTTAAAGAGGTCAGAAACCATGGTGTCCCATTGCCAAACCAGACTGTCATATGTGCACATGTGTGTTACCTGCCATGGCATAAAATCGCAAAGTCTGAATTACATAACAAGTATGCAAACACATTGCAACTCATTAAGTTTTTATATTGTGACCTTCCAAAAGATATGATGGGAGAGAACGAGCCAGATCCTGGTGCCATTTTCTCTACACTCCTGTGTCTACATTTCAGTATCTGCTGTCTCTGGAGTGTTTGCCTCTGTTGCTTGTTGCTTCTATTGACTGTCATTTGTGGCATTTACCTCCTTATTTGTTTGGAAACTGTCATTTGTGAGTATGGATGGTTGAGATTTCTGTAGGCAGGAAATGGAGTTTTCCTCCAGATGGCATTTGTTACTGACTCTGCTGAGAACCAGCTGCTTCTTACATGGGTTTCTTTAACTCCTTGGCGAGTGTTGAAAGTTTCAGGTTCACATATCCTGTATGGCTATAAGCTCAAGGATTGACAGCTTCATGTTCTGCTCGCTTGACTATTGCTTATAGTTGCAGGCTCCTGAATTTAAGTCACTGGAAAGGCATTTGTTCTCATGAGAATCTGATCATTTCTGTCTGGTTGGCCTCTGAGAAGCAACACTGACTTGACACATTTTTTGGAGGGGAATTTGAAGAATTCCTTGAAGATTTTCTCTGCATATACAAACACAAAATAGGTTTCAAAAGCACGTTTATCAGGATCTAGTTGTTTTGCAATAGAAAGGGGGGCCCTCAGATTGCTCTCAATTTGTGATTTATAATTGTGTGTGTTTTTTGTTGTTGTTGTTTTTTGGAGGGGTTATTGCTATAGGGTGCACACATTCTCCAGAAAGACATAGAGAGACAGAAAGCGAGAAATCACCACCCAGGGGGGATGGCTACGCTGCAATCCCTTCTCCATTCTCCTCTCGGGATCTTGGGCATGCATTCACACGTGCCCAATGTACGTTTAAGTCACCAGGTCTGGGACTCAAACCATGGTTGACTACATGGGAGTCCAGCAACATAGCCATTTTGCCATCTGCTGGTTCCAATGCAAGTCTT